GTAAGAGGTGGGAGTAGCACTGGTGGGATTCTAGCTCTGGGGCTGACCCTGTGCCCTGCAGAGTCCCTGTCCTAAATGTTGGGGGTGAGGGCTGAGGACATCTGAGGACCCTTGACGTGTGACGAGATTTGTTGCTTGATGGGGTGGGTCTGCCCACTCTTAGTGAGAAATGTCCACCAGAGGAGGGGAAGGGGGTGTCAGTGTGTTTGCTGGGGAGGTCACATGCCTATGCACATGGATGTGACTCTAACACAAGTCTCCTGTGTCTCTCAGCACCCCTCCCTCACTCTAATTCCTAGGCCACTCTGTGCCTCCTTTACCTCATCCTAGGCCTTTTGCTTGTAATCTCAGCTCTGGAGCTGACCCTTTGCCCAGCAGGGTCCCTGTCTGTAATGCTGGGGGTCAGGAGTAAGAACCCCTTTCAACGATGTGGCCATTAAGGCTGTGTAGCTTTGTTTTCTGATGAAGCATGTCAGAGGAGTGCAAGTGAGTATGAGGGGCTGGAGTGTGCCAGCAGACCACCATATGTACATATATAATGATGGCTGAGTTTTTATAAATATTTTCCTATCTAAAGGCATTTAGAATGATACCATAGCAGTCTAAACCATGCTGTCCTTAGGTCCCAGTTGTTTCCATTTGCACTGACATGAACGTCTCTCAAAGCAGAGAGAACCGCATAGGGGAAATTTGCAGCAGGCACCTGGAATGCAAGCCTAGTCTGAACAGTGCCAGTGAGCTGTGGGGCAGAATTGGGGCAAATGTTTGTTCTGTCTTGGCGCCTTGGATTCCCTGTCTGGGTAGCTAAAGTCAGCTGTGTTGGCCCTCCCTCCCTGGTCAGCATTCTAATCAGCTTCTTTCTCCACAGGGAGGTCAGGGTGAGACATCAAGGGGGACGCCTTGAGCATGTTCAGCAGCTTGCTTTTTGCAAGTGATCTATATTGGCAGCCTCTCCTTCCAGAGCCCAGCTAGCCAGGCCTCCTTGAGGTAGCTTTCAGCCAGGTTCAGTCAAGCCCAGTTTTGAATGTGAATCAATTTGGAAGCATATCCTGCAGTCAGAAGCTGAACACCAGCCACACTTCCTGCTGTTTGGTACTCCTGTCATAACACTCCTTTCCTGAAGGCAGCTGGCAGCAGGTGACCATTTTGGGTGAGAAGAAAGCATAGCAGAGGCAGGAGACTGGAGTCCAAAAAGGAACCCAAACAAGGCCTGAGAGGTGGTGCTTAGCCTCCTATGCAGTGATAAGCTATTTAATTGAGATGTGTTGACTTATGATTGACATGTTATTTACCTGCTGTTGTTTACTCTGTTTTCTCCTGTGTTTGTTTGCCCTATTTATTGGGTTCCTTCTGTTCTTGTTCATGGAGCTCTGATCATTTTGGTCCCTCTCTAGAACATCTTTCAGTAGCCTGTATAGGGTTGGCTCTGTCATCATGAAATTCTTTAGTTGTTCTTTGTCATGGAAATATTTCACTTCTCCATCAAACTTGAAAGAGAGTTTTGCAGGGTATAGTAGTCTGGGCTGGAATTTGTTTTCATAGAGGACTTGTAGTACTTTGCTCCATGCTCTTCTTGCCTTCATGGTTTATGAAGAGAAGTCGGCCGTAATTCTGATGGGTTTTCCTTTGAATGTGATCTGCTTCTTTTCTCTAGCAGCTTTCAGTATATTATTCTTATGCTGGATTTCTGGGATGTTGACTGTTATATGTCTCGGTGTTTTTTTCTTTTTTTTTTTTTTTTTTTGCGGAACCAGGGATTGAACTCAGGACCTTGCGCTTGCCAAGGAAGCACTTATTCCATTGAGCAATGTCCCCGGCCCCTCTCAGTGTGTTTTTTATTGGGTTGCAGTTATTGGGCATTCTGTATGCTTCAGTTACCTGGATGTTAGATTGTTTCCTCATATTTGGGAATTTTTCTGCTATTACCTCTGCCCATATTTTTTTTAATGTCATTTGTATTGACTCCTTCTTTCTCATTGATGCCTATTAGTCTCACATTGTTCATCTTTGCATCATCTTGCAGGTGATGGATTATTCTTTCCTGTGTTCTTGTTGTTTTTAAGAGATCTTTTCTTACCTTTTCACTAGCTGCACCAGCATCTTCAAGATCTGAAACTCTGTCTTCACATTCACTTAAACGGTTTTGCAAGCTTGTGATTGAGATTTTAATTTCCTCTATATCTCTTTGACTCTGCTTCATGTGATCTATTTGTTTCCTGTATTGCTCATTCAAGGAATCCGTCATTTTTCTAATCTCTATTTTTTAATCAATTTCTTCTTTAGAGGCAATTATTCTTTTACTGCAGAGTTTTTTTCAGATTGGGTTTCCTCCATATGTTTCTGTATTCGATTCTTTACTTCAGACACTATGAATTCAGAGATTTATTTTTTTATTTCACAAATTAATTCTGCTCTCAGTTCCTCTATATCTTTCTGCTGTTGTTTCTTTACTTCTGACACTGTTAATTCATTCATTTCAGCTGAGCTAGTGTCCTCTGCACTTGCTGTGGATGGGCTGGAGGCCTGAGATTGCATTTTGCTCCTTGTCTTTGTTATTTCGTATAGCACTGACCTCTGACCTTTGGTGTAGAGCTTTGGTGCAGTTATAACCTTAGCACCTACTGAAATTCGGGTGCAGATCTGTTAAGTTTGAGTTTATCCAGTTATGCCTGGCCTGGCTCTAGCTGTTGTGTTCAGCTCCTTCCTACTGCAGCCCTTGGAAGTGACCCTGTTGTGCCTCCTCAGACACTATGAATTCACAGTGTACAACAGTGAACCTGTGGTGCCCTTCTGTTGTGCCTCTGGCCCAGGTGCAACAGGGAAGTGCAGAAGCTCTTCCACACACTAGCCAGGTCTGGGCTTGGGCTGGATCTGGGGGTCTCAAGAGCGTCGCAGAAGTTCTCACTCAGTGGGCTTGGGGGCAGGGGCTCTGGAGGGTTGGAGGGGTCCAGAGGGCGCGGCAGAGGGTCTCACACGGCATGCCTGAGTTTTGGTCTGGAGAGCTCCTGTGGGCACAGGGAAGCTGGAAGCTCTCCCACACACTCACTGGACCTGAGCTGGGCTGGGCTGGATCTTGTGATGAGCTATTTGAGACCAGGCTGTGAACATGGTTTTCAGACTGGAGAAGAAAACTTTACCAGCAATCCTTGGGAGAACATATTTTTCAAGTGAGTGGGTTCTCAGGATGTTTTCCTGTTGGGGTGGGTCCTGCTCATGACTGTGGCCACCCATGAGTGCCAGGTATGTGACATTTACTCTGCAGGTCTCATGGAGTCCCTCAGTTGTGAGAGCGGTGGGTTTTTGCCATCATGTTTCCTTTGTGTAAGTCAAGTAGCTTACCATGTGTGCACAGGTGCTAAGGCACAGCATCAGGCCTTGGCCCCAGGTCTATTGGCTGCCTGTGTACACTTCTTCTCCTGCTTGCTGTGTAGGCCCTGCACCCAGGACCCCATCTCTAGCCCCCAGAGTGCCACTGCACTGAGGATGCCCTTTCTCTCTTTGTCTGGGCCTGCATGCTTTCTGTCCTGCTCTCAGCCAAGCCCTGTTGGCAGCACTTCCCTTCCGACCCCTGGCAGACCTTGCCAACTCTGAAGGCCCTTTCCTTCCCAGTGCTTCCTTGACCCACATCACCTCTATGTGCAGGCTCCCTGCCAGGGCACAGTGGTCCTTTGGACAAGTGACAAGCCTTCCTTGGTTATTTTGTCTTCCGGGGTAAACTAATCTGATAAGCTTAGACTTGAGTTTCACCATTAAGCACTTGACTTTGGGGTATGAAGGTATGAGTTTCAGCATTGGCTTGCTCATCTGATGGCCAGCACTGGGGAAACACAGACCTCTAAACCACCTTTTCCTCATCTGCCTCGTGGTGCCAATGCCTCTTCCCCCTCTTTTGTAGAGTGGAGGAGTGGCTCCACTGTGGTCTCTAAGGAGCTACACTGACACCACAGGTCGGCTGAGCTTGCCCTTTTGGGCCCCTTCTTCACAGACTAGCACAAGTATCCCAGATGTAGGGCTCAGAAAGTTAGATGTTCACTCTTATGGATACCAAGAGGGGTGGCATTAGTGGGGATGTAACATCTTGCCTAAGCTCTTCACTTTATAGGTGAGAGAACTGAGGTGCAAAGAGGGGAGGTACCACTTGCCTAGTTATTTTCAAAGTTTTAATTTAGAGGGATGGGATATTCAAGGACTTTTCTTGTTTTATTAACAACTTTTCTCTCTCCCCACCCTGTCCCAAGGTATATCTTCCAATCATAGTGATGATTCTCCATATAGCTGGTCTTTTCCACCTTATCATCCCTCCTCGGAGAAGTATGAAAACACTAAGGTAAGACTGGGAAAGGGGCACTGGCCTGAGGACAAAGTGATTTCTTCTTGTCTAGCAAATAATCTGTTGTGCACATGTTCTTTCAAGCTGATTATGCTGTGAGGTTTTTGGGTTTCACTTATATGGCTGTGTTGGCAGCAACAAGTGTGGGCATCTCTAACATCAGGGCCCATGGGAACAGTAGCTTCCTTGTAGCAGCTGGCGGTGACTCTTTCTTGGAGAACCTTAGGCTTTATCTAGTGTGTTGGACTCACATGATGGTTCCTGAATGCTCACTCTGGATGATCCTCTGAGTGAGGGTTGTTGAGGTTCTGAGACATGGGAGGTGGAAGAGAGACAGAGACAGAGCTTCAGGAACCTCAACCCCAAATGAGAGGGGCCTAATGTGTATTGTTCAGCTCCTCAGAACTCTAATAGGAATTTTAAACTCTAAGAGCATCATGGGGAAATAAAAGAACCTATAAAGGAACTTAAATCTTTGGTGGAACCCCCAGGATATAAATAAAACTAAAGCCTAGTTTAAGAAACTGACAAAACCAGCTGGAGGACTGAAAAATGGCATCCTCCTCTGAGCTTTTTTAGAGATATCATTTAGAGAAGGGTGAGAATTGGGCAGTGGGGTTGTAGGTGTTCTAAATTCTTGATAACTGTCCATTTCACAATACACTGAAAGCTGAGGGCTGTCTGCACTTTGTGGCTTGAGTAGGAAGAGAATGAGACCGGAAGACCCTCCTCTCAGCTCCTCAGTTCCATGAGGGCATATTGCTACTTTTAGCAGTCCAATTTATACATACCAGGCCCTGCAGCCTCTCTCCCTATCTATCGTTCCCAAGCTGGTGGTATACTGCATCCAAAGGCTATGTAGCGCTGCATGTCATGTGATGACAGGGAGTGGGCTGTCCTGCCTCAGGTGGGCAAGGCAGGGCTGGGAAGGACATTTTTCTCAGAGCACCTGACATGGCCCTGAACTCTGTGATGTGCAAGTCACTGTCCTTGCTGACTTTGGCCTTAGGTCCAGTATGGCTGCTTTAGGAAATGCAAGAGGAAGTCATTCTCTGAATGGCATGTGGGGGGACCAGGAGATTCCATGCATTGTCACCTCATGTACGCAGTAGGGACCCTGTCACTTAGTCTGACTTCGTCTGAATTTGTCTGACTTTGCCTTAGTCTGACTTTTTTTTTTTTTGCAGAACTGGGGATTGAACTCAGGCCCTTGCACTTGCCAGCCAAGCACTTATTTAACTGAGCTATCTCCCCAGCCCCTGACAAATCAAGGATTTTGCTCCCATCAATATATATATATATATATATATATATATATATATATAGTTTGTTTTGTATTTATTTATTTATTTATTTATTTATTTATTTATTTATTTTGCAGAACTGGGGATTGAACTTTGGCCCTAGTGCTTGCCAGGCAAGTGCTTAATCTACTGAGCCATCTCCCTGGCCCCTCTTAGTGTGACTTTGACATTTAAGGTTTCTTCTTTTTACAATTTTTTGAGATGTAATTCATATTCCATATAAATCTCCCTTTTAAAGCATGGTTTTTAGTATCCTTGTAAAGTTATGCAAACATTACCCGAATCAATTTTAGACCATTTTCACCATCTTAAGAAGCTCTACCTATTACTCAGTCCCTATTTCCTCTTACTCTCCAGCCTGTGACAGCAACTGATTGACTTTCTGTCTGTGTGAATTTGCTTGTTCTGGCAATTTCATATACATAGAATGCTATAATATGTGACTTTTTATATCCAGTTTTTTCACTTGGCATAATTTTTGAGATTCAGTGACATAGTGGCATATATCAACTTTTTGGAGATGCATAATAATCCATCCTATTATGTTTTGCTTTTCCACTTACCACTCTTTGAATATTAGGGTTGTTTCTACTTTTTGGCTGTGAGGAATAACATGGCTGTCATGTATAGGTATTTTTGTAGACTAATAGGTAGAATCTCTGGGCTGTATAACAATGTTTTACTGTTTGAGGAATTTCCAGAGTGTTTTGCAAAGTGGCTGCACCATTTTCATTTTTCACGAGCAGTGTATGAAGGTTCTGGTTTCTCTCCATCTTTGCCTACAGTTGTTACTTTCATTTTTAAAAATTATTGGCACCTTTTAGACAGTCTCGTTCTGGTTCTTATTTGTATTTCCCTAATGAATAGTGATGTTAGGTATGTTTCCATATACTACTGGCCGTTTAAATACCTTTTAAGACAAATGTCTAAGTTTTTGCCCACTTTTAGTTGGCTTATCTTTTCATTGTTGTGTTGAAGATGAGATTTTCTTTTTGCAATAAGTGGTTCCTTTGGTGGTATTTAGTTAGTTAGACCTGGAGACAGGTTTAGTAGCAAGAAACTCAGTGATGTGTATTTCTGGCTCCTTCCTGGAATAGCAGAAGTATGTTTCTGATTTAGCTCTACTTCTGAAATGTCTGTCCATTCTGAATGACTAATACCTAAGGAACTGGTAACAATATCGAATCTGTGTATTTAACCTTCCTGACTTCTGCTTCTTGTATTAAAATGTTGATGTTATATGTTTTGTTTTGAAAGACATGTAGGGGGCAAGACGGAGAACTCCATGCCAACTTGATTTGCCCTGTGGATGTGGAGGATGTGCCCGAGGGCACCTTGCCTGACAAACAGAGCACCGAGCAAGCCATACATTTGCTGGAAAAGATGAAAAGCTCAGCCAGTCCTTTCTTTCTGGCTGTTGGGTATCATAAACCACATATCCCCTTCAGATACCCCAAGGTAAAGAGCCAGTTGAGAGTTGATCTCACGTAGCCATTACAGCTGTTTTATTTGTTGAGTGAACCATTTGTGGAGTGAAGGTGGCCATATCCTGCCTTTCCCAGACCCCACAGTGCACGATCCTGATCGGCACTAGCATACCTGGTGAAGGTGGAATCAGAAGGCAAGGCCCAGAAGTAGTCTCAAGATGTGTGAGAATCTCATGTGAAAACTGATATTTTCCTTTTCTCCAGTGGAAGGTTGTTCCCTTGCCCTGCAAATCATTGCACAAAGGTTGCCTTGCACAGTGAAATCACCCTAGAGAAGTGAGTCAGAGCTGTAACGAGGAGCAGCCTGTAACAAGGAATAATGCTTGGGAAACAATGCCAGGGAACGTGACAACTGCCCTTCACTGAGCTTGTCAGATCAGACTAAGCATAGGACACTGTATGCTTGCTTTTGTATCATTTAGAGCATCTCGTCTTTTCCTTTTTATAATTTGTTTTTCAGTTTTTTCCCAATTTTCCCTGAGCCTAAGAAGCTCACCCTTTTGTATTGAAAACAAATGCATCTCACTTGTCATAGGAATAGACACCAGAGGGTGTGCTCTTTGATGTTACAAATATCTTGCTTTGACTGGCTTAGGGGACCTTGCCTTCCTGGCAGGAGCTGTCAAGCCAGCTTGCTACAAGCATGTGAGACTCACTCTTCTGTGCCTTTGCAGAAGAGCATTCACAAAGGCTGCCTGGCTACACCCCTTTGAAAGACCTGCTTACAAGGCTATCCCTTGGCTGGCATCTCTGGGAACAACAGTGACTCACCGTGTCTAACCTGTTTAGGCAAACATGATGCCATACACTGAACCCTGGTTTTTCCTTCTGAAATACTGGAATTGTAGTATATTCCAGGCAGAGAGTACCTATGTGACTGGCACCAAATCAAATCTGGGTGCTGAGGCTTTGAAAACTTCCCTGTTCGGTAGCATTGTTACTCATCGCTGAAATACTGAAGTGCACCCTGTGTGGCTTACCTGAGACAGTACTCTGGAAACTTGCTACTGGTTTCCTTCAGAGTTTTCTCAATGGGCCTTTTCCCTTTGTTGGATTGTTTGGCATCCTTTTGCTAGAATTACTCATCTCCCTGAGTGTAACCATAGGCTCAGTCCTGTGAGTGCTCCCGGTGAATTACTAAATCTAGGCATGGTTTGGCAAGCCCACCATATCTGTCTGAGTTGGGTGTGAGCTGGGGATAGGAGCAGGAGGGGATCTGACTGAGGGAAGAGGACTGCCACTGCTTGGTTGTAGAAAGCAAGAGTTGCCTGGTTGCACTGCATTGAGGGTGATCTTTGGCCTGACTTGAGGTGGTAGTTGAGTACTGAGGGAGCATTAGTGAGCCACCATGGAAATTTCACTACAGGTTTCAAGAATAGTCACTATAAACACTCACAGAACCATAGCTTGTGCCTCTGCCAGACGAGTAACAACCTTGTGGCTTTTTGTGTCTTTCCTTCAGGAATTTCAGAAGTTGTATCCCTTAGAGAACATCACTCTGGCTCCTGATCCTAAGGTTCCTGATGGCCTCCCAGCTGTGGCCTACAACCCCTGGATGGACATAAGGCAACGGGAAGATGTCCAGGCATTAAACATCAGTGTACCCTACGGCCCTATTCCTGTGGACTTTCAGGTGCAATTTGTACTGAGTGTGTGATAGGATCAGCGAAGCCACTTGTTCATTCATGACTTACTGCGAAGTTAACTTGTGCAAGGCATTGTGTGAAGTGCTGGGTGGGGCCTTCTGTAGGCTTAGGACAGAGGCAGTGCTGGGAGCATTGAGAGTGTCCTGACTGCATCTCAGCTGCCAGAGAGGGGAGCAGCCAGAGATTCGGGGACTTGCTGTGGACAGGCGCAGGGGTGGGAAGCAGCCTAGGGGAATGGTGCTAACCCTTGGGAGATGCTGTTTAATCCAGGTGACAGCTCCTCACTTATTAGGGTGTGGATGGCTCCCCAGCAGCCTGGAATGTTCAGTTGGCTGGCACTTGCTATTTCCTCTCATGAGAAGGCCTGACACTAGCAACTGGCACTCATGCAGCTGAGCTGGGCCTTGGCATAGAGGGAGCTGGAATGCCGTTATGGCCAGGGTGGTCAGCTGTGATATCACGTGTCTCCTTGCCAAGATGTGGTCTCTAGGGTTTTGTGTAAGTGAAAAAAATGCTCACTGGGGGGCTGGTGAGATGGCTCAGTGGTCTAAAGCATCTACTTAGAACAAGCTTAGCAAAGCACAGGGACCACGGTTCAATCCCCCAGCACCACATGCCAGCCAGCCCCACCCCCTGGTGGGCTGAGCTGGACACACACACACACACATACATAAATAAAATTTAAAAAAAATGCTCACCGGGATTCTTTCTGGGATCCTTCACACACAACCCTGCCTTTTCTTGGTGCGTGAATGCCGACAGGTAGGTTATCATGGAGGGAAGAGGGCAGGGTCAGCAAAGTGTGCTTCCTGGACAGACTTCGTCAGCCTCCCTCAGCCGACTTCGGAGAAGTGCAGAGTTCTAGCCATCCCGGACTTACTGGGTTACAAGCTGGAGCCCAGGAACTCGGTTGTACCTCAAAAAACACTCCGGGTTGTGAGAAGCACTGCTAGAGAACAGAGGTTAAAACAAAACCAAACCGACTACTATAGATGATCTCTCGCTGTCCACATCTTTTTTTTTCTTTTTTATTTTATTTTCCCCCATAATTTTATTGAGAAACATAGCAATGAGACAGTTTCAAATAAAATTGGTAGGACAGTTTCAATAATCAACACACTGCATACATTCTTCCTAGTGGTTAATTGCTGCACAAGATGCAGACTTGATATCCTACTTACAAACACCATTAGAACAAATCCTTCTATTCATTAAGAGAATGTAACTATATATCTATCCTAACCACTTTGAATACACAGATACAAAATGGACATTCATCTGTATCCCCTTTTTTGTTTAGTTCCGTCATTTGAGTATTATAGGTGTGTTAACTCAGCAAAATATTCTAAAAGAGTCCAGTAGTCCATAATAGTATTGGGTCTTCTGTTTCACTGGCAATGTCAGAAATTGTTGACCTGAGTCCCCTACAGCTCAACATAACAGCATGGCTTTACTTCTTATACTTCGTTTTTATACTTTTCTGCTAGATGGTTAAGACCAAGGTAAAGCAAGACTCATGCAACAAGAGTTGTAGCTTTTGGGTCTAAAAAGGTCAGTGAAATCCCCTCAAGATTTATTCTGAGATCCTGTATCTCAGATGTAGAACCTGTGTCAGTGTCAGCCATGTGGATGAGTCACGGCCCTTGCTTGGCCAATGTGCTCTCTGCAAAAGCCTGAGAGAATGTTTTCTCTCCATGTGACTCTTCTTAGGCACACTCTATATCACTGATCACTTTTCTCTGTGGTCCCTTAATCTCTTTGATCAGAAAATTTGGGACATAATTGAGTTACATGATGTTATAGTACAGGTTTTCCTATGTCCTGAGTCTTCACTGACCTTGAAAGGCTAGGGCCATCGCTGTCCACATCTGTTTGGGCCCTGAGGTCGCACAGTATGGGGCATGAGCCGAGTGCGTTCCTGAAATCTGTTTGACGCCTGGGTTTCATATGGTAAGTGGTGAGAATTGGAGAGCAACGGCTGTGTCTCTCTGCTTCTGAATTTTGCATAGCTGCATTTTGATTACCAGGTGGTTCAAATCCTAGCTCTGAGATTGTGCCTGGAAGCCTTATTAGTGACAGTCGTTGAAAGTGACCCTCTGCAGTGGACTGGGTGCCAGGAATGGTGCTGAGCATTCATGTGTGCCAACTCCTTTGGTCTCCATGGGAACTGAGCGAGGCTGCTGTCTTTCTGCTATTGGGGGAGGAAATGAAAGGCAGAGAAGTGTGCTGCTGGCTGCATTATACCCAGTTCGTGCCAGGGAGCTGGTTCACCCCCAGCGGCGTGTGTCCACTGAGCCCATGGTTGATTGTGTCATTTCTGAGCAGTCTGGGTTTAAATTCACCTTCTAGCCCATACTGGGTCTATCAAATCACTAAACCTCTTCAAGCCTCTGTTTCTTTACCTATAAAATGGAAATAGAACAAGTAAGTGTTTCATGTAGCTTTGAGGGTTCTCAGTGGGGACTAATGGAGCACGCAGCAGCATCTGGGGCAGTGGCAGCTGCATGGGGAGCGCCCCTCCAGGTTCGCAGGGCCTGTGCTCTCACGCACTCTGTTGCACACATGCCCGAGAGCTCCCTGAGGTGCATGGGTGTGGTACCCCGCTCCACATTCCCTCTGGACCCAGGCCTCCTCCCCATCCTCTTGCGGGTCTCAGTGTCTGTGGCCAAGCCCTTTCTTGGGCCAAGCAGTTTTGTGTTCTCTTCAGCCCCAGCCCTCTTGCTCAGCCCCCATGAGCCAGGGACTTCTGCGACACACTCTGGAGTTTGGTACCTCCACAGCCTGCTCCTTCTCATTCCATACCCTCATCATGATTCCCTCTCCTTTCATGTCCTTGTTGCCTGCACACCTCCTGGGACTGCTACAGTGTAGACTACTGCTCCCCTCCTCTGTGTAGGTGGCCTCTGCGGTTTGCTCCTTCCCTGTGACAGGCTGCTTCCTCCTCTTAGCAGCCTCTCAGCACACTTGCCCATTTATGCTGGGCCCACTTTCAGCTTCACAGTCATGCACCCATTTTGTGAAGAGGCAGGGGTGAGGTGGACAGAATCCGTGTAGCGGTGAGGTGCAGAGGCCTCAGCTGCCCAGTGACCTCTCTGCGTGACTACACACTTGTCCTATCCAATGAGGTCTCCCTTCCTTCCTGCTTTTCCTGGAGCCTGAATATCTTCTCAAGTTTCTTCTGTGTTCAGAAGTGCCACGTTCTTGCCCTTGCCTGCTTTCCTCCTTCCCTTCCTTGCTCAGCTGCCCTCCACAGGAGACTATATTGGTCACCTTGCTGTTGCTGGGACACAGTACCCAACACTTGACAATTTACAGGTGGAGAGGCTCATTTCCACTCATGGGTTCAGGGCATTCAGTCCGTAGTGGGCTGGGTCTGAGGGCCTGAGAGAGGAGAGCCGCTTTTCTCCTGGTGGCTAGGAGTGGAGAGTTGGAGAGGGCCCCAAAGCCAGGACAGGGCCAGAGACCAGATCCAGTTCACAAGGTCGTGAGCCCATGACCCATGCATACACACCCAGAAACAGCCTTTGAATCTCCTAGGTGGCTCTGGAGCCAGTGGAGTCCAGGCAAGTTTGACCATAACTGAGAGTCAAGAGTGCTCTACTCTGGCTGTGCCTGTGACCTGCTTGTCTACTTGTTCTTCATTCTTCTCCGCTCAGTCCTCTGTCTCCCCCCCCCCCCAGCTAAGACTTCTCCTACCTATGTGGGGACCTATTTTGTTAGCAATATAAAACCCTTGCTTCCTTGTGGGCATGGAGCTTCCCTGGCTCTGCTGCTTTCGGCCTGTTCACCAGCTCTATCAATCACCCCCTGCTGTCTGGGCTGCTTGGCTCAGGGCCCCCACTGTTCCAGTCTCCATGGCAGGCTCCTTCTGTGTCCCCTCATTAATCAGTCCAAGACCCCTCGCTGTTTGCTTCGTGCCCCTTCTGCACTGCTGGGCCAGCCAGAGCCCTGCTGGTGACTGACTCCCAGAACTGGCCCTCCAGCCCTGGCCTGGCTCCTAATGCTCAGACACAGTATGTGTGTCCATTCCCAGGTGGATAACTGTGGCACCCCTGGCTTTTTAGAGTCTATGTGGCCAAGCCAGTGCCCTGCCCGACCTTTGTTCCTCCATCCTCCTCCTGTGTCCTTCTCCCCACCATATGCCGGTGAATCGTGCCACCAGCTGAATGTGAGACCTAGACTCCCCCTTGGATTTCTCACCCTTCCCTCTGCCCTGCTCCCTTCCCCACCCTCTCCATCCACACCTGCTTCATGTCCCCAAATTTCTCTCAATTCCACACTAGCTTCTGGAGCCTTTAGCACACTTCCAGTCCCCTGTAGTGGGCTTTGCTTTTAATTGATCATGTGTGCTGAGTACTTCTTAGGGATGGAGTGGCATTTTGCCTAAAGCCCCTGGAATCTGAGCTGTGCCTGTTGCCACAGGGCACTTACAACTTTTAGCCCAGATTGTACCCCTTCCTTGCATTGAGAGGCCTCAGTGAGCCCCCTTGCCTGCATCCTGGTACCACTCCTCCCTAGAGGAACCCATCAGTCCCTTTCCCCTGGCTCTAACCTACCTTTTCAGGATCCCTCACTCCTGCTGCCCTCCCAAGATTTCTCCAGCCCCAAACACTCCTTGCTGTGTCCTGACTCCAAATGTTCTGCACACCCCACAGCCCCTGCTATAGGACAGTACACCTGGGGACGTGCGCTGTGTCCCCATATATCTAGTGGCAAGTACCTCTTCCACAGGGCGAACTCCTTCATGAAGCCTTCCTTCATCACTCTCCTGTGTCATCTCTGGGCCCCACCAGTAATCCTTATACATATTCTCATCTTTTCGATTGTTTCCTCACTGGGAAAGTGCCTTTCTTTTGTGGTATGGGAAATTGGAGTCGCAACCTCATGTTTGCCAGACGGGTTCTGTGCTGCAGAGCTCTGCCCTGGGCTGAAGGTGGCTGATTAGGGCTGAGGACTGTGCCTGCTTAGTTATTACCTTGGCTCCAGGGATCAGCACAGGAAAGAGAGGGTGTGCTTCTATAGGACATGGCCATCCTGATGGTTTATTGATCCCAGTGCACCAGGAAAGGGACCTGATTTTGGATCCTTCGGTTCCCAGGAGGACTGAAATTCTCCTAGTTACAGACTAGTTACAGACTAAAGACTTCATTTACCAGCAAGGGCTAAGTAGGCTGTGTTCAGCATAACCCTTCTACAAGGTTAGACATGTATCTTTTCTCTTCACTGCAAATGGAGAATAGGGTGATCTTGTGACTGTCCTTATCCTGCCAGTGATAGCAGGAAGCTGGCAGATCCAGCGGATAAGGCCGGCACCACACAGGCGGCAGAAACTGGTGCAAAGCTGCTAAGTCAAGAGCTTCGTTACTTTTGCACCCGGAGTGAGTCAGTCCAGGAGCTACTGATGGCTCCTTTACTTTGCTGTCTGCTCTGGCTGTCTCCAGAGCCCCTCTTGGGTTCAGGGACCATGGCTACTCTGTTTGCCCATTGCTTTTCTCCTGTACTGAAGCTTTCTTAGAAATGAGCCACACCTGGCAGCCACAGTCGTGAAGCAGTTGCCATCTCTCGCTGGGGTAGAAAGGACTACCTAGACCACTGTTGCTAGTTAAATTGTGCACCATGCCAGTGGTTTATTGATCCCAGTGCACCAGGAGAGGGACCTGATTTAGAAGGAGGGTCATTGCAGTCTTAAGATGAGGTTGTAAAGGTAGGATAAGCTGCTGGTGCAATAATGAACGATGTCCTTAGAAGAAGTGAGAGGGCCAGCGAGATAGCTTGTCAACGGAAGCCCCAATACTATTATGGGCTAGTGGACTATTTTGGACTATTTTGCTGAGTTCACACACCTATAATATTTAAATGATGGAACTAAACAAAAAAAGGGGATATAGATGAATGTCCATTTTGTATCTGTGTATTTAAAATGGTTAGGATAGATATATAGCTACATTCTCTTAAGGAATAGAGGGATTTGTTCAAATAGTGTTTGTAAATAGGATATCATGTCTGCATCTTGTACAACAAACAACCACTGGAAGGCAGTATGCAGTGTGTTAATTATTGGAACTGTCCTACCAATTTGATTTGAAACTGTCTCATTGCTATTCATTTCTCAGTAAAATTATGGAAAAATAAATAAATAAAATACTAAAACTCAATGTTAAAAAAAATAAAATAAAGCACCTGCCTAGGTAAGCTTAGGCAAGTGCAGGGGGTTGGATCTGTGGCACCACATGCTCTACCAGCCCCACCCTCAGGACAGGCTGAGCCGGCCAGAAAAAAAAAGAAAAAGAAGTGAGAGACATAAAGGGCTCTTTGTGAAGATGGAGGTAGAATAGCCCAGCTGTAAGCCAAGGAACACCAAGTGTTGTAGCCTCCACCAAAAGGAAGGAAGAGGCAAGATCCTCCCCTGCGCTTTTCAGACCAAGGTGCCCACCCAGTGCCCTGATTTCAGCTTCCAGCCTGCACAGCAAGAAAATAATCCGTTTCTGGTGTCTTAGGCTACCCAGTCCATTAGCAGCCTTAGAAAATGAAGAAAGCTAAATCCTCTTTTTGGTGCACCCCTCATTACAGCCTTGGAACCTGTGCTTAGCAGAGCTGAAGGATCAGTGTCCATATACCTGCTCATCTTCTGGGTTCTACCAAAATTTGGAGAGGAGACAGAAAGGAGCAGTGAGTGACAGCCATCTGTCATGATCTGCTCCTAAGCAGATTTGCTTAGAGAGGAATCTACTTTGGACATGCAGATTACCCTGTGACTTGGCAAGTGAGGGGATGAAGGCATGCAGATGGCAGGCGAAGGCGGTTACATTGTCACTGAGAAAGTCCTTAAGGCATCAGTGGATGGGGTGGGATTGGGAGAAACGCTCAGGCAGGGATTATGCACACAGTTAAAACCATGCTCTCATTAGTGGTTTGGTTTTCATTTACAGCGGAAAATCCGCCAGAGCTACTTTGCCTCTGTGTCCTACGTGGATACACAGGTCGGCCACCTTCTGAGTGCACTAGATGATCTTCAGCTGACCAACAGCACGATCATTGCATTTACTTCTGATCATGGTAAGTGCTTCGAAATGCTTGGTGAGTCACTCAAAAGGTCTCCTGGGAAAAGTGATTTTTAAAAAGCTGCACTATACACAGGTGTGTTGTCTTGAATCAACAGCGTCTGGGATCTTGGGGTGCTTTTATGATCAGATAGATTATCAGTCCTGGCACCTCTATTTTAGGTAGTAGTGGCAGAGAAAGGTGTGCCGGAGATCATGTAGCAAACTGTTTTTTTTCTCTTTTTATAGTGCAGGAGCTAGAAGCCAGGGCCCTTTGAAGTTTTTTTTTTTTTTTTTTTTTTTTGTTTTTTTTTTTTTTTTTTTTTTTAAGACAGGATATCCCTGAGTCACTAAGTTAACTAGGCCTGGCTCCAATTTGTGATCCTCCTGACTCAGCCTCCTGGGGTGCTAACGTTATAGGGATGACTACTTTTACTATTGGTGAACTCGGCAGGAACCCTCTCCTAGGGGAAATCTTTTATGCATCTCCCCCTGCTTGTAATGTAGAGGGCTGAAAGACTTAGTTTTTCTTGGGAGGATCTAGCACAATCCTGGCCAAGCCTGGCAACACCCTCAGACCTGGCTGCACCCGTCCTGTTCCTATCCCCACTGTCCTCTCTGCCAAGAGACCAGGCTTCTCAATTCTTCTAAGTCTGTTGCCTGCTTCTTGCAAACATGGACCTGTAGTTTTAAAGTCTCTTTTATTTGTTCACTGTTCAGCATGCCCTAGAGTGGAGAATAGTTGGTTCTTCAGCTCTGCACAAGCTTCAGTCTTGCTCACCTTATCTGTTCCCGATCCCTGAACTCCTCAGGTGTCCTGAAACAAATCTAACAGGCTTCTGTTTTCTGGTCCCTGTCTCTCAAAGCAGCTGCCTCTTTAAGCATATCCACAGTGCTATTTGCATACCTAGAAAAAGGACACTAACTCTTTTGTATCACCAAATATGAAATAAGAGAATAATAAATCATAACATGTGCTCATTGTGGGCAGAAGAAAGGATACAGAGTTTGTAATGCATTTGTCCAGGGTTAACTAGTGCTGACGCACTGAGATTTTGGCTGCCAGCCATTGCTTGTGATACGTGTATCCTGGGACACATGGTGTACAGTATGTGTGAGTAACAAGTAGCATATCATAAGACAGGGTTTCTTAAGCTCTGTGTCCCTGGTTTTCTTTTTAGCAATTAACAATATCATAGGCAGTTCTCTCTGTCACTTCTCAGAGATACAACTATTCTCTTACAAAGTCCTCCATTAAAAGTTAGTTCCCTTCAAAATGCATTACACATGGAGGTGCTAGTCTACTGCCATAGCACTCTAAATGTGCTCAGACTCCTGTGATACAGGAGGATGTGCCTTATGTTTTCACAGATTCCTAATGATTTACCATCCACTGGCCTCCTTTTTTTGCTGAGGCAACTATAGCTGAGTGCAGTGGCCTATATGAGAGTTCCCTTGGGATGTGGTCCATGAAGACCACCAGTAAGCTCATAAAATTTGGCAATGGAAAGGCATCCACTCAGGTGGCCACAGGTGTCACATAGAGTAGGACTTTACCACCTCTCTTCCATGGCTCAGCATACCCCTCGCTCACTCTAATTCCTGGGCCAACGTGTACCTCCTTTACCTCATCCCAGGCCTCTGGGCGAGGAGCCAGAAACCTGAGCTTCCTGTCTAGGTCCACAGCTTCTGGCTCTTCTGAGCCTACAGATGGACCTGGGGCCCTCCTGGGCCTGTGCTCTTCCCCCTTGTGGATTTGCTCTGGGCCACAGCAGCCCAGAGGGAAGCCCCACATGGGACTGATGGGACTGAAGAGAACAGTCCTACAGTCAGGTGCCCACGTCTGGGCACTGAGTGTGGGCTCTGTTCCCTGCCCAGGCCTGAAAGCTCTGCATGTCCATATTTGGGGAGGCACCAAGCACATGGCTGAGGCACCTTCCTTGCCCCTGGGTGCATCCCAGTCAGACTTCCGGGGCTGGCTCCTGGTGTCACACTGCCAGGGTCACTTTCTTCTTAGTCCCCCAGGCCGACTTGTCTGCCTGCCACCTCTGAGGTCCCTGCCAGAAGGGATAGCATGACCTCCAAGCTGGCGGCTTAGAAGCCAGCCCAGAACCCCCATGTCAGTAGCCCTCATCAGTGAGCTCTGCCTTGTTGTCTCAGAGAGGGAGACTTGGGGGTGTGGGGCTGCCTCACCAGGCCCACCGACTGTGGAAACTGCCTCTCTCTGAGTTCCAGAGCTCCCTCAAATGACTCCTGGACTCCCCAGGGCTATGCTCCACAGGGAGGGAGGAAGTAGGGGAAAGAGACAGAAGGAGGCACTCTGGAGGGCTGGAGCACCTCTCAGGGACACCATGTCTGTTGTCCTTATCAACTGATGAGAGGCTCCTTTTCCCTTGGTCACCAGAGGGCACTGTGAACTCAGACAAGGTTCCTGGCCTGTTCTGGACAGGGCCCCTGGAAGGCGAGGGTCGGCTAGCGGCCTGTGTCATGTGAGACTGAGCCAGTGAGGTCTCTTGCTGGACTGGGCACCATCCTGTGCAATGTCAGCAGAGGCAGCTGTGATGAGGACAGCACTGACGTATGTCAGGAGGCGGAGCCCTCCACGTGCGCTTTGATTTTTTGGCTATTTTTCTAACAGTGTATAGTCTGTGTACAGTCTCTGACATGTACTGATTTTGTAGCAGAAGGGATTCTCAACCTTTAAAAGACTGAGAATAACTTTGATTATTTAGTCTTATTTTTTTCAGGACTGGGGTTTGAACTCAAGCCCTTGCGCTTGCCAGGGAAGCACTTATTCTACTGAGCCATTTCCCTGGTCCCTATTTAGTCTTTTATAAGGGATTTTTTAAATCAGCAAAAAGAGTTGTTTTTTGATCACAGTTAATGATTTGTGTCAAAACTCTTTTGTTTTCCTTTACATACAGTATGACTTAAAAAATGCGAAGGGTAAATTTGTCTTTCACCGGAGTCCCACTGTGCATGTTGTTACGGTAAAATGAAAGATGAAGCTCAAGTGAAAATCTAGGCTTGGAAGACATGAGTCCAGATAGAAGCTCAGGACAGGGCAGTGATGACAGTTTTTGAGGTGCCCAGCCGATGAGTGTATCTTTGGTGGCATAGCTAAAGGGTAGAGTCAATGCTTAGCATATGTGTGGTCCTTAGTTCCATCTCTACTCAAGAAAATGTTGAAACTAAAATAAGTGAGCAGGAGAAGCATGTCTTGACAGGGGAGACGGGGCTGCTTAAGGCACACTGGTTTCACAAAGCACGCTGTGGCTATATATCTGTGAAAGAAGAATGCTATTTAAATTTGGGAACGTTATATATTTTTTTGGTTTTCAAACGTTTCCTTCTTGAGGATAGATGTCTAGTGCTTAATAAATCATCCTTTTCATGGTAATTTTAGAAGAATTTTCTGAAGTGCTCAGGTTTGACTTCTGATGTTGATCCCAGGAAATGTTTTCGGCAGTATGCTTGGTGTTCTTACACACTTACTGTCATTCTGTGTTTTTCATGACCCAGGGTGGGCCCTAGGCGAACACGGAGAATGGGCCAAATACAGCAATTTTGATGTCACTACTCGCGTACCCCTGATGTTCTATGTTCCTGGAAGGACGACTTCGTTCCCGGAAGCAGGCAAAATGCTTTTCCCTTACCTCGACCCATTTGACTCTGCTTCCCCGTTGATAGAACCAGGTATAAAATACGCTGAAGCTGTGTAAGTGCCTTTGGTTTACATGTGAACCACCTTGCTGAATCATGGCCTTACAAAGTCCCACTCTTGCTACTTTGAAATTTTTTCTTGACACTGGTTACTCCCTGTATCGGGGGCACCTTCTGTGCTCTGGCTTAGGGAGGAAGAAACACAGCAAAAGCTACCAAGTATGGTTGCGTCCATGAGGAGCCTAGAGGGGAGACGAACAAAAGAGCCAGTGGCATTGCTGAGGTGTCACTGTTGTAGAGGTGACAGGAGCAAGCTCCAGAGCTTAGAAATAGGCACTAAATGCTGCCACATGTAGCAGAGCCTATCCATTCACTAGATGAGCAGAGTTCTTAAGCTGCATACCTTGGCAGGTTCTCAGCTTTATTTGAGGGGAGTTCTTTCCATTTTGAAAGCTCTTTGACCCAGTGAACGACTGGATCAATAGACTCTACCAGGTGACTGTGTTCTGTGATCCCCAACAGTAAAGACAAATTTACTTGGACTTCCATGTGCCAGTCCTTCGGAGCTTTAATTTTTTTTTAATCAATGTCTCTCTCTCTCTCTCTCTCTCTCTCTCTCTCTCTCTCTCTCTCTCTCTCTCTCTCTCTGTCTCTCTCTCCCCCTCTCCCCTCTCTCTCCCTGTCTCTG